TGATAAAAATTGAAGAACCTTCTGTTTTTGTCATAATTCTATTCGCACGGTCGAAATATTGAAAGTCAAAAATAGAATTTCGATTCAGACAAGGAAAAATCTTGCTTAATTTTTGAACTTTAAATAATAAATCACTGGTTAGTATCTTTATGAGCATTAAAATCTTCTAAACACTGATTATAACTAGTTTCTTATTAGGGTAAAGAAAAAAAATAAAATACATACATACTGAAAAAGCGTTGGTTCCATAGGTGGATTCAACGTTCGCAATACGCCCAATCTCAAAGTTGCCTGTACTAGCAAGGAAAGATGTCGTGGCTGTACTACTGATGTCAAGGTATCCATTGACATAGATTGATTGTGCCAATGTGTTGTAGTCGAAAACAATCGCAACATGAACCCATTGATTGTTTCTGATAAAAACAGTACCCATCAGATCATTACTGCTGTAAAATCCAAAATAAAAATAACGGCTGCTGGTAGTTTTTCTTATTGTCAAAAACAAACAATTGTAGGCTGCGGCTACTGGACATAGTCCGATGATACCATGATCCTGTGCATTGGGAAATCCTATTGGACGAACCCAAGCTTCAATAGTAAAACTCGACATATATAGAGGTACATATGAAGATGATACAGATTCATTTTGAGTCGCGTTCAATAAAATAGCTTGGTTCAAATAACCGTAGGTTGTAAATGTTGGGCCATTAATGGGAGTGGCATTGTAGGTCAGCATTTTATCGACATAGTTGCCATCAAAGGACCATTTGGCAAGTAGAGATGTTGATTGGGTCCATGATTGATTGACGCATGTTGCACCACAAGTTGATACCGCTGTTGTAGCTGTAAATTTCAACAAAGATATATAACACAACAACTATTACACTTAAATGGTAAATTCAATCAAAGAGAGCTCAGCGGTGCAAGTCGAAGATCAACGCGTACCAAAAAAAGATATCTTGTGATTAGCTGCATCTCTGTTGCATTCTACTGAAGTCAGGTCACTAGTCTCACTAATATCTGTAAGCTGATATTAATGTGGATGGTTGCATTGCTACTTGACGGTTTGAATGTTTGTGTGATTGTGAATGCCTGCAGCAATGTTGGTTTTATTTTTGGTTGTACCACCAAGAGCAATGTTGCACATTCCGGTATGCGGATATAATGCATCCCCCATACGAGATATAGTAATTCTTCTAGGAGATGAGTATGTCTCAAATAGATTATACATCTTTATTGACGAATGAATGTATCTTCCAGATGTGGGTACCGGTTCTCTCTCTTAACAGATGCATCATCTGCGTAGGGATATGTTGGTACATACTCTAAATTTCGAGAATATGAATCTTCTCATCGCTATTTCACAATCATGAAACCTTGACCAAACGAGAAAACACATCGTCCGTATCCATCTACTTTTAAAATATAGACTCAACTGTGCATTTCGAATGATGACTCGTAGAATATTTTAGAAAAATTCGAGCCTTACTAGTGCTCTCTCAAATAATATAATCTTGAAAAGAATACAAATCGGATTCATGATCCAAGGCCACGAAAACTAATTGCTAGTTCTGATGAGAACTCAAGCAATCGTGTGCAACATTGAGAAACTTGATATCGACTCTCGAACGATCGCGACGTCGACAAAGCATTAACGAACCTTTGTTTTGTAAGCTTATCCTTTCAGAATTGAGAATAAATTCCATGATTGATAATCTGAAGCATACAATCGTGATGTAGCTTCTATTTTCATGAAAAAAAATTTAGATGCGTAAAAGATATTTCAAGCGTTTGGATGAGTTACTCTAGCTAACTCAGACCCAAGCCTAAACTCAACGCATAAAACCAATCTTTGTGGGTTTCATGCATGCCTAAGAGCAATCAAAAGGAAAGAAAAGGTGTAGGATATGCTCATGATTGTCAGAAGATTTCAACACAACAATTTACAATCTCTAGCATTTGATTCTTCATTTTGAGTTCTATCATGATTCATTGGTTTAGTTTAAGTAATGACAAGTTTAACTATCAATCAACTTTAAAAGAAACATTTCGGTATTTCTTACGCACGAAATATCTCATTATCGAATGCAAAAACTGTAGTCTTATGCGTGTTCAATACTTATTCCATTATAAAGCATACGAATTGCCAAGTTATATACAAAATATGAACAAAATACAGACAAATAGGGATAGGTCAAATATGTTGGCAATTCTGAGCATGACATTCGATTTTGAATGATAGTTCTTATCATCCTTTTAGTTTGAGAGACAACAACACAAACAATAACAGTCTATATATGTACATGTAAACATAAACATAGGAATCAATAATAATTTTCTTGTTCATGGTGTACTTCTCCTACTTATCTGCAAACTTAAACCATAAAAAACGTGCTTTCACACGGTACTATATGATTTTGAATAGTGGCGGCGAACAGGTCGTAATCTTAAAATACCACACTATACTGTCTGGTCCGTAGTCTAAAGGCATCTAATCTTCAACAGTTGTTCTTTAAAGTAAAAAAGTCTTCCAAAAAGTATACGCACTACGTTCGTTAAAGTTATCCTGTTCACGTGAGACAAAAGAAATGCTTCTTTTAGCCAACTGAGTTTCAACAAAATAGGGCTATCAGATCAAATGTTGTAATTCGCTATTGTCACAGTTATTTTTCACTTTTTGTCAAGGAGGAAAAAGCGGATTGTGGTATCCCGATATCCTGTGTATCCCCATTGTATCCTCCGTATCACCGATGTATCCTCTGTATTCCCGATGTATCCTCCGTATCCCAACCGTATCCGGGATAGACGGAATCCGCTTTTTCCCCCTTGCTTTTTGTTCTAGTGGCTCGTACAGATGGAATCTAGGCAATATTTTGACTAATCAAAACACAGTTCAAGGACACTTCTGAAATAGGGTAATCAGTCTTAATGGGTTTGATGGACGCTTCAAAATATATTTGAGACTTAGTGTGAGCATTATGTATTGCTCATCTGAGGTCTGAGCACGTCGACTTCCTGAAGACCTGGTCTGCTTATGAAGGCATACTTACCTTTTTACAATAATGTCATGATAAAAATAATGTATAATCAAGTATAAATCTTTATTGAAAGTCTAGTAAGTCATAAGGATTGACATAGATGATATCTTTGGAAATTTCCTAATGTGAACGTCCATGAGCATATTTATAAATGATCACCATGTAGAGATTTGACCCTTTTGTCAATACAGCATTGTACATAAGAATAGGAGCAGAAAAAAACTAACTTCATCAAGTGTATTCTACTTCATGGAAGCAAGAAAAAGTTGTTCAAAGCTAACCATAAGGAGGCATTCACTGAGAGGTAATCGATTTCAAACTAAAATTGTTCAAAACATAGTCAGACTGTGCCCTATAATGAAACTATCATGTTTTGAAGACGTTGACAGTGTAAATATTTTTACTTGATGTTTGATATGAATCGAAAAATGTTGGTATTTAGAAAGATAAAACAAAAATATCGTTCAAAGTATTACAATCAAGAGAGTAACAATTTGCACTAATATGGAAAATCTTAAGCAAAAAAACACGGTTAAGCAACGATGTGGACAAAACAATGGACAACATGGGAATGAGGTATTGGTCGCATCACTTATCTACCCTTGGCCTTATTGCTAACATTCTTATAACGATAGTGGACCTGATAGTTCCCACTTATCTTCAATATTTTTTTTTTCAAGTATTTTTCTAATTCTTTTTTATGAAAATAAATTCAATTTATGAGATAAAAATTTCATATCGAAAGAAAAAATAGACAGATCGGCGGTTCAAGCTGCCTTTTTGAAGCTCTGTTGCTCATACCANATCGTATAGAAATTATTTGAATGCAGAATTCTCTGTGCGACGAAAAAAAACACCATCATCCATTTTAAACCCATTCTACTCAATAAAAAAATAGATCTTTCGGATAAGATGTAAATACACTATCGAATAACTTCATATGAAATATATTTTAATGCATACTTGAGATGCTTTCCGTTTGATTGGTAATGCAATCGAATTCTACTGTTTGATTTTTCTATCAGAAAAAGAGACTAACCTTCTTCATATACTCGATCTTTCTTTCTAAATCGAAACATGTTTTTGTCGTTTCAATCGAACATTTTTTATTCTCATTCAACATCATGTCGAAAATAAGAAAAACGAACATTTGGGCAAAACAATAACATTATTGAATATAAATCTGAGTAAAAGTGGAGGAATTAAATAACGGAAATAGATCAATATCATTATCAAAAGTGATTTTGATGAAGAACATAAGAATGCTGGGCTTTTCACTAGTAATGATTAATAATCAATCTTGTTGTCGAACTCAACCGAAAACAATTTGCAAATCTATCTCACTATGGAATTGTAATTGGCGAAAGAAACGATCAATCGAATCTGGATCAGTCGAATAATAACATGGAGGCATACGATTGTAATACTCAGTCATGTAATGCGCTAATATACAATGATTTACGGTCGTTTACGAGCGTCTCTATTCGAACTAAGTATTTGTGTAGTAATATGTCGTTTTTTTGCATCTTGATATATACAAAAACAAAACGGAAGATAAAAAGGTGGGATGTATCTGCCACGATTTACAGAGACAAAGTAGCAGCAGCAGCTATGTTATTGATAACGAGACGATTGAAAAGAAAGAAATACACACTAATACAATCAATCAATTTTGTATGTACATCTAGGTATAACGTTGTATTATTTCATTAGTGAATACGCGCACGGTCTTGCTGTTGATAATTCGTCAAACCTTATCATTCGCCAGATGATTGTTCTTCGTTACTTTACGGAATAATGATGTGCATTCGTGCATTGATAAAATGCATTGTCAATCATGTGTCTCTTATTCGTCTCACTGAATAAAGAGCTTACCATTGAAGCTGCATACAAATGGGAGTCGTTAATAATTTCCTCACGAAAAGTTCTATGATGCATGTTTATCTAAATTGTTTTCCTCTATCAACGAATCCACAATCGAGTCGGGCCATTCCATTTATATTTTGGCCAAGAACATGATAATGGCAAGTGCTCTCGTAACCGTTCGAGAAATTCATCTTGCTCCTGTTGATATTCATGTTCAGTCTGAGACCAATTACTTAGCATTTTATTCACTTTTGTATCTTGGCATGGAACATTCAGCACTCGAAGTTTGTGCATATTATTAATCAAATCAAGAATACATGTTTGATTTGTCACACCAATATTAAGTACTTCCCATTGAGTGCCAAGTGATGAGTAGCTTAATACAATAGATTGTTCATTGTCGTAGAATTGACGACAAAATCCTAAGAATGATAAGAAAATAAGATAAGATACCGACGCATTATGTAGATCAAGTGAAAGCATTTCTAGAGGCCAACAACTGTGCAGATCCTCAGTTGCTAATTCAAAGAGACGAGGTGCACGTTCGAGCATAGTCTAAAGTTGACTTTTGCAATGTTCATTGTCCTGATACCAAAACTATCTCCAGTGAAATGAATTGATCGAGCTTCGGAATCACAGAAAAGAAATTGTCACTAACTGGAAATCCACTTGTGAAAGTTTTTGAATGTTACAAAATTTAATATTAGATTTTGGGGGCTCGTCGACATTGAAGCATGTACTGTTTAACCCACGAACATGATCATATGACCGTTGAACAGTATTATCAGGATAATTTGATGTCGAAATAATGGAAGAATCAAAATCAAACTCCATCTTGAATTGTAATATTTTGAGTTTCGGTAAATGATGACAAATGATATCTTCCCATTCTTGCCCAAGTAGAAAATATAGATAATATTTCAATTGCTGCACATTGAGCGTCTATTGTGTTAAGTTCTTTAATATTTTTTCACATATTCCAGACAACTTTAATGTGGTGAGCGATAGAAGTGAGGATGCTAGTTCATAATTGAGATAGTAACGATTAACAGATGTAGAGAAATACTGACGATTCGGTGTCTGTTCGAGAAAATAATGTATATTGTATGAAGAATTCTGAACATTCAAAATAGACAAATGTCGAATAGTGGATGAAGTCATTGTTGATGTTCCAAAAAATTTAGTAGATTTTGAAAAATCAAAAATATCGCTTAAGTAGCAATAAGTTAGTTTCGGTAGGCTCCAAATAGTGTTTAAGAAAACGAGAGTTTTTACGTTCTCCGCTGACAAATCGCAATGTTTGATGGACAAATGAGATAATGCCGGAAGAATTTTGTTAATAATTTGTTCTTGATCACGGTAATACAATGAAAGTGATCTGAAATGAATGAATTGCTGAAGAGTAAATCTATACGTATAAAATTGATCCAATTGTCCAGGATAATTGTGCCTACCATGAAGACAAAATGAAGCAATTTGATCGATTATTGATGGAAGATATTGCTGACAGATAATGTCGAAATCTTGTTTCAATAATAATCGAACGTTAAAATTATAAATACAAAAGAGAAGGAAGAGAAGAGATTCGAAACGAGAATTGTGATTATGAAATGAACGAAGAAGCTCAGTCATACTGAAATATTCGAAGGGATAAAGTAATGACTCATTTGCCAACGATTCCAATTGCATTTTTTTAAGGATGTTCCTGTAAAAATCGATTGAGAGAGTGAAAAGTTGAATACATACCCGATCGATACTTTCTTATGGAGGTTCTTCAGCCATGGTAATAATTATGATGATTTTGTAGTTTTGCATCTTGCCAATTTTTATAAAAACTATTGGTTTGAATGGCACCACTTTCTTCTTGGTATGACTCAAAGTAAACAAGAAAGGAAAGAATTCTAAAGAGTTTTTTTTCATTTTTTTAATCTTCTATTTTACAATACATACGAACGATTCCAACAACCTAAAAATGTTCTCTTGTGACAGAAAGAACGAAAATCATGGTTACCTTTTTCTATTTTATTTTGCCTTCAAGCACAACATGACATCCTTAAAGAATGAAAATACATGAGATCTAAAAACAGAGATTATTTTCTCAGTGTTGCAATATAAAGACATCACTAATCAGCCTGACTGATTCAGGGTGTGGGTGTGGGTGTGAATCTTCTCCTCACTCACACCCATACCCTGACTGCAAGGTACAAATTCGAATAGTAGTAAAGTACGATCAAATTATATAGGTTTCCATATCAAGAGTCAGGCATAAGATCAGTTGTATCAATAGGTAAATCCAAATATCGAAATCCTGGTATGTCTCGGATGGGCATATTGGGTTGCAAATATTCTCGCACACATAATCGTCCACTTGAATCTTTTGTGAAGCCGCTTCCATCGAATAATTTTGAGAGACCTAATCGATGGTAGAGAAAGCCACGTGACTCTTCAAGTGTTCCTTCACATTCTAGAAATCTCTCTTCTGACATGAAGCGAGGATCAGATGAGTTGCCATCAACAGCCAATTCATTGATGTCAAAGTAAGATGCTCCACGAAGGTAAGACAATCGAGCATGCGCCTCAATCACATTGAAATCCATTTCTTTCAATGCATTTTCGTGTCGACGAACCTTCATCGAAATAGACTTCGGATAGTAGGCATCAATTAGTGATAGTATTCCGTCCCATGTGGCTAGAACGCATTCAGGTGATCTGTAAAATATACCTAACCGAAAGTGTTCTCCATTTTCCAGTTTTCTTCGAATCCATTTGTCCTCACAACCAATTGAACGTAACGCTTCTAGGTTCGATTTTTCGAGAAAAAGAGATAAACCATCATCACCCATGACCCATGCGAATTTCTTGACGGCTGGTTTGTCTTTTTGTAGATATTCAAAATCTGTTTCTTTCGAACCCCGAGTAACCCGACCTGCCATCTGTCGTAAATGCTCATTCTTGATCGCACCGTTTACATTACCCGAGTTGTGTTTGCTCCCAAAAATTAATGTAAATGCTTCAATGGTACTATCACTTTCCGACATAGTCACACTTGTCATTCTATATGTGTAAATCAAGTTCAGCACCGATCGAAATACAGATGAAAGCCACACTCAACTGGTCTTCAAACAACACAAGTTATTGCAATATTATATTGCAATGATATCGTTTATTTCGTTCTACAAGGTCGCAGAAGAAAAGCAAGAACGAAGAGAATTTACACCATAAACAACATGTGACACATGCCCAATAGAAAAAAAGCCAACAACCGTGCAACGCAGCGATTGGAAGTGTAGATGGGGTTGAATGTGAGTGTGAGTGGAGTTGATGTGGGCGTCACTGTGCATTTCCTTTTGGTTCACACAAAACACCCATACCACGATTTGGAAGATACACGTTATACGACAAGTTCAAAGCAGATATTTATTGATGGGAATAAATGACACATGTGTAAATAAAATCAAAATTGTGTTTGTCCGTTGTTCATGGAAGTCGTCATTGGTACGACACGAAGAGTTGTTTGAGTCTTATATTGTTTGAGATAGTGGTGTGCGAGGCGATAAGCAAGTTCACCCAATTCAACCACACTCAAGATGCTCAGACCGATCCATCTAGACATATAATTTAATGAGTGTTAATTAAATCAGAGGAACTTATTTACTTACAGGCCTGTTTGTCCACCAATCGCAGAAAAAGTATCAATTATTGTCAATTTCGGCTCTTGTTTATATTCAGTAACATACTTGCTACCACATGAAACTAGAATTTTCAAATAGTTCCGATTGAAATAGTAATCAAAACGTTGTGCAAAATCGTTGGGTAACAAGACTTTCCCAGTATAATTTTGTGTAACTAATAGTTCATGCCACTGTTCACTTTCTCCTACAGATGGACCCGATTGTGCACTGAGATCACTCTTGAAATACGTATGTAGACATTGAGGAACACAATGTGTACACCATAACCTTTGAAGATCACTGCTAGCCAATAATTGTTGTTTAGCACTAACTGTACATGATAGTTGACTGGTAAATATGTTGCAAAAATTAGCCGAGATGAGCTGATCATCAAGTGTGAAAACATTTCGTGCGAAAAACGGCATGGGTAGAATGCATGAACATTGTGAAAAAATATAAGCTTGTTCACACAATTCCAAACACAACGTTTCTGAATAGGCTATTTTAGTTGACATCGTGGAATCGAGAAACGTTGTCTTATATAGAGCATGTAAATCGTCACGAACATTCGATGTACAATTTGTGTAGGGTGATGGAAGGAAAGTTGTTTCACTCTTTCGATAGGTAATTAAATGGGATCGAGCTGGCTGCAAATATAGACCATTTTCATTAGGCATCGGAAGTTCATCATTATCATGCAACAAAATAATGAGACCAGCATCGAACCATGAACTAGGGAAAAAGAGCTCTTGAGGTATGTAGAATGTCATTGAGAGGCCCTCTTTTAACACAATATCCTCGCCAAAATCACTAATTGTAAAGAGTTTTGTTGATGTCTTCCAATTAAATGTAAAACAATTACCCAAAGCTGCCGATATCGATTGTGTGAATACATCGGCACAGTTGAGTCCATTGTATGTACATGAAAGTAACATATCGCTCAGCTGAAATCCGACTGACACCAATTCTTCTGTTTGATTTCGACTGAATAGATCAACAACCAATGGAATTACGAGTGAGTTAAGAAGATTCTGATCGAATGTTGCATTCGGTGACATGAGTCGATTGAAGAAGGAGACAAGTGAGGCATTTATTTTATCATATCGATACGAATTTCCACTACAAACAGTTACAGCAGGAAATATCATTGTTCGATCAAGACGAACTTCAACTTTTGTCTGCGTCGGATAGGCATAGTATTGCAAAATAGCCGATATGACAAAATAGAACATGAGAGCAAACGCAACCATGAATATAAAGATCCAAAAAATACGATTGAAAATGGAATAAGCACGACCTACACTGCGTAGTCCATGAGTTGATGTTGCCAGTAAGATAATCCAGGAGAATCGATTGACGATGTTGTTCAACAAAATGTCTTGGCTTACCAGAACTGATTATATGGTCTATCGTTGACATATCTTTACGCATCCAATACGCGTAGCTATTTGTTCGTCAGGTTATGTTGCTTTAAATGATAATTATTCAAAGTGTTGAAAGAAAAAAAAAACGAGAGAAAGTATTCTACAAGAAAATTAAATACGCATTCTCTTATGTGTTCATTCACTTTTCATTATTTGAATTGTATTGAAAAAAACTTGTTATTAATATTTCTTTATCTTAATTTAAAGTGACTTGCAAGATAGTGATTCCATTTTAATATGGTCAAAAGGAAATGAAAATGCTAAAATGAATCTATTGAATGGATGACACTTCCGATTCATATTTCATCAAAATTAAAAACGAGAATAATATATCGTTTTGTCGGTGTTGTAGAAGGCAAGCATAGAAGTCAGCATCGTTCTTTGACACAACGATTTAATTACAACTGTTTGATTCATCAATTCCAAGAATAAATGTTCATTTTATAATTGATTCTCTTGATTGTAAAAAATCTCGATGTTGGATAATCTTCGTCATGCAATGGCGAGAAAATTTTCTCAATGACAACGTTCGATTTTTGAATGTTCATCAGATGTTCCATGTCAAAAGTTTTATCATATTGGCAGGCCAAAGTACTGAGGTAACAGGCTTCGGCCATAAACATTCAATAAGACATTCTCATCTGAGCATGTCTAAGTTGAATATGTATGTCCCACACACAGTAAAATCCTACATAATATTACCAACTGTTTATCGACATGAATGACTCATCGAGAAATAGTACTCAAATTACCAGTCTCTTTAATGCTGCTTTAGCAAACAAGCAACTCAGATCAATAATTTTCAAAATAAATCTTCAGTTGCTTTGAAGTCACAATGATTTGTTTATATAAAAAGCTGCTATTTTCCATGAAATACCTCGATTAACCAATAGCCGTTCAGCATTCTATTTCTGCGTTCGATTTGTCAATGACCATT